TCACAGATTATCTCTCATACCATACTGTCACAATACGCTTGTGCTGGTTTGTGCAGAATTTTGAGAGAAAACCATCGCTTTCGTCTTTTCCACATTCGAAACCAGCTTCAGACGTAATGAGTTTGAGATACGCAATCTTTTATTTATTGTACACAAAATCAAATCTTTCTAAACATTTGCTAGAGGTGTCAAAAGGTACATCCTGTTGTTCAGATGACCACAAAGTCTTCATTGGCATGAAACAAAACCACAGATGAGCACAAAACCAAGCAGAACTTCTTTCGTGAAGCAACAACCACTTCTGCAGTGCCATTTCACACGGTTTCTACTTTTCTTACACAACAGAAGGACCTGCAGAACGTGAGAAAGGTAAGCAATTTTTTCACCTTTTTTATGTATTTTTACTGCAAAGAAAAACTGATTTAGCTATAAAAATTCCATCATAGCTAGTCTTTTGAGCCTAAGACTAGCTTTTTGAAAATCATTTATACATTTGTAATGTGCCCTTAAGATTTATTTATGACAGTTGTCTCAATGTTTTTGAGTAGGCAGCAATTAGACACATCAGGAGACAAACGTAATTAATTTCCCTTCAGTTTTTTTCTATTGCGTTTTCTCAAGGGAATTTACAAAACAAAGAAATATATTTTTTTATATTAAAGTAAGAAGGTAAAAGTTGAATAACTGCAAATATTGCAGAATTGGAGCGGAAACGAATGTATCCGAGTGAATATTAAAGCGTTCAGTTTGTCCTCCAGCAGCAGAGACTCAGAGATAATTCAGACAAAACTAACCCAGAGCTCTGATGGAGCTGATAAAGACTTTATGTTCATTTAACAGGGAACCAATGAAGAAAAGCTAAAATAGGTGAAATGTTTATTTATTTAATTGTGTGTTTATTTGGCTACTTTTTCTGGGGTTCACATCATTAAACACATTCATAACAAAAACAGCTACAAACACTTAAACTAGAAACATAGCATATTTATCCATAAACATAGAATTACAAAACTATGATAAAATAATTAAGCAGGGCTTGTTTAAAAGCTCAAAGATTTATGACATTTAAAACAGATGAAGGAAGTTATTTCTGTTTTCATTCCTCGAGAAATACGTTTTTTGTCCAGAATTCCTGTTGCATGGTGGAATAAAACATTTGAAAGAATGCCTTGTATTAAAATTGTGTAAAGTTTAACGAAATAAAAGTTTATTATGTAAAGCAATTTGTATCTTAGATACTACAATACTTCCAAAAACAGGATAAGAGGGTAATTTGTGCCTTATTTTTATCCAGGGACCAACCTAAAGCTTTGTGCATTCTGATAATAATTATGTATTTGGAACAAATAGAGCAAAACGAGCTGCTCTGTTTTTGGTTAGATGTTTTTCTGAAGCGTTGGACCGAACCATGGAGGAAAACTGCAACAAATATGATGGTTTTAGTTTTCACCAGAACTCCTGCTGCAGCGTTCTGGATCAGATGAAGGATTTTAACTGTATTTTATGGACTTTCTGTCACTAAACAAGTTCCAGCCTTGAAGTAACAAATGCATGGACTGTTTTCTACGTCACTCCTGGACAGATTTATATGTAGTCGTTTTTATGTAGGCTACATGAAAACATGTTGTGGTTTTGAGGGTGCAGGTGCTCTAGCGCCCTCTAGTGTCTGTCTGTGCACATCGCTGCTAGAGGCCCAATCCTGCATGGAGGACACCAAGAAGAAAACCCCAGAATATATCACAGAAAATGATTTAATCCCAGTTTTTTAATATTTCCTTCTTTGCAGAATGGCATCAACTGCAGTTCAGATGCTATGTGTGGCTCTCGGCACCATCGGGTTGATTGGGGTCATCATCTGTTCTGGCCTCCCTCGCTGGGTCGTGGGACATCAGGGTGATACGGTAACCATATAATCAAAAGACATTTTATGGTTGAAATTAGCATGATAGTTATTAGTTCATTTATATGTCATTTTTATAACCTATTTTGTGTTTTATTGCGTAATTTAAGTAGCTTATCATTATAACATCTGTTATAAAATGCTGTATTTATGAAGTATAAACTTTGCATTTTTACGTCGTGACATTGGGCCTCTGTCTCTTTAAGAAGCTTCTGCTCTGTCTTCAGCATGTCATCACAACAATGCTTCTCATTATGCTGTTTGCAACCATTTTGGGAGCTTTAACTGAGAAATAGTCTCCATTAGCAGATCCTTTGCAGTCCTTCCCTGGTTCTTGTAATCATTTCCAGGGAGGTACAGCGAGGTTTACCTCTATTTTAGCCAAATATTGTAACTTCATCAGAAACTTAGATTCCTGACATCATCTGGGCTTTCCTAAACTGTTTAAAGACTCAGTCATAGTAATTTATTCTCAAAATTATAAAAACATAATTCTGACATTCAGTAAATAGAAATTAATTTGGTTTTTCTATCTGATTTTATATCATAGAACATGCTTAATAAGGTGTATGTAAATATCTGTTTCTATGTCTTTGGATGGACAGGAATTTCATTACGGTCTGTTGATGGAGTGTCAGAACCAGAACACCGGACTGATGCAGTGCACAAAGTTTGACTCCATACCCTCTGAACTTCAGGCAGCCCGGGCCATGACCGCCATCAGCTGCATCTTTGGTATTCTCAGCCTCCTCTTCCTGTCTTTTGGTGCCAACTTCACCACATGTATTCAGAACAAAAACTCCAAGACCAAAATGATCCAGGCAGCTGGAGTGGGCCTGATGCTGGCCGGCCTGCTGGTGATCATCCCGGTCAGCTTGGTGGCACATAATATTTTGAGAAACAAACAATGTCTCTCTAGAGACATTGGGGCTAGCATCTATATCGGCTGGGCAGCTGGCATGCTGATGATCCTGACTCAAGGTCTGCTCCTCAGCTTTGGCAGACCCAGAGCTGCTGGTGCTCTCAGCAGCTCTGGAGCTGCCAGAATCTCTTCCAGAACCTCTTCCACAACCGTTAGTTCTGGAGGAGTAACCGCCACTTCCGTTGCTTTAGTATCCAGCTACCACAGCGACAGAGTTTAAGCTCCAAGCAACTTAATTTAGAGGATTGATGGAAGGGCCTGGTGTCCAATAGACGGGTAGACAAACGAGCTGATTCGGTAAAAACTAGGAAGACGACACCAGAGATAGTAAATATTATCCTGACAATAAATGGACCAAATTATCACTTCCATACTTTTAGCATTTTGTAGTAGAAGGCATGTGCTCTGTAACACATCAGACTTTTACTTTTCTATTGGCAAAATTCCCAGAATTTTTATTAAAATGTCCTGAAATTTGACTTCACAAAGCTCCTAAGGAAAATTATTTTAAAAGGCATAAATATCTGTATGCATTAAAATTACATTTCAATTATCTTTTGCTGTATTTTTGCTTACTAAATACATTTTTATATTTGTCATTTTTTTCATGGTTTCTTAATTCCAGTTTACAAAACAGTTAACAGAAACAGTCATGTTTCTCAGTTTTCTGCTTTATTTTCTACTGATAAAACATTTACTAACTATTTCTGTTTTTGTACAATAATTACAACAGATCATCATTAACATTATCTTTGGTGAGATATAGATGTGTTTGGAAAAATAAGTAAAATGTATCAAAAAATTCAATTTCACAGAATAGCATTTTGTTTTTTTACATATATATATATAAAAAATTTAAGCTATATACAGAAAACTATATAGCTTATAGCTTAAACAGAAAACTGATGATTCTTCATCTCATATGCAAAAGAATATTGTTTTACAAAATTATGCAAACCCTTCAAATAAAATGTTACCGTCTGACTTTATTTTATCTTATATTTCAGCTTTTGCTTCTGTATTTTTCATTTGCAAACAAGAAATAAAAGTTTTCTCTGATTTTACATAACTACGTCTGTTCATTAGATTTTCTTCCCTTTGTTAAACTTTAAGATTCACATATCTGAGTTTAAATAAAAAATATCCTAAAATCTTCACAAACTGTTTATTCATTTCCAGCCTTTTGGTCGTTTGGCTCAGATGCCAACAGTTTAATCTGCTGACATCAAACCACACCAGATTTATGAAAGTTACAGAGTTTTGAACTTCCTCATTCAGTTTATAAGTGAAGCCAACGTTGCACCATTTCACATTCGAAGATCCACCTTGTTTAAGACCAGAAGTAACAGAAGAACCTCCAACACCTGATCCAACCACGACTTTTAAAAAGGTAAACACTTTTTCAAAACTGATTTTTATTTCCAGTGAAATAAAAAACTGAAGAAGTTAATTATTGAATTCCTTCTAATTTTCAAAAATCTCTCACAATGTGGATAAAATTACCTTTGTCTTTCATATTTTAAGCTCTTCAGGATGATCCGAGGATTTATTAGATGGATGTTGGGTCGTGGCTGTAGTGTTGCAACTCAAGGAGAAAATTTTAATGATTTATGTTTCCTAAGGGAATGTGCAACGATACCAACTGCATTTCCATTACAAATGTGCGTAAATCTTTGTTTATATTTTGCTAATGTTGAATAAACTTC